AGCTTTGGTCGGCCACTGCGCCTTTACACCGGGCACAGCGAAGAACACATATGGTACCGGTTGCTTCCTGCTCTACAACGTCGGCGAGAAGCCCGTCATTTCCAAACACGGCTTGCTTGCCACCGTTGGCTTCCAGCTGGGTAAAAATCGAAAGCCGGTGTATGCCCTCGAAGGAAGTGTTGCCGTCGCCGGAAGTGGTATTTCCTTCCTCATGAACAACCTAGGATTCTTTCGTGATTCGCGCAAAGTCAGTGATCTTGCCGCCACTGTCCCCGACAGTGGAGGTTGCGTTTTTGTCACTGCCTTCAGCGGTCTGTTTGCTCCCTACTGGATTGATGATGCCAAGGGAACCATCTGTAAGTCTCCTGAACGCATTTTACCCTTGGACGAAGTCGTAATGCTAACCCCCTACGAAGTTGGTATCACGCAACACACACAGCGCGGACATATTGCTCGCGCGACAATGGAAGCGGCCTGCTTCCAGACAAAGGCCATCCTCGATGCCATGGCAAGGGACAGTGGACACAAATTGTCGGAATTGGCCGTGGACGGCGGTATGAGTAATTCCGATATTTGCATGCAGGTACGTCTCTGAAAAATTAAGAAAGCCTTCCGCATCACGATGCCAGTGAAACTGACATCCATTTTACTCGTATAGACACAAGCCGACATCATCCAAATTCCCGTCGAGCGCCCTGCCATGCACGAAACCACCGCGCTGGGCGCTGCTATCGCGGCCGGGTTCGCCATCGACGTCTGGAAGGAATTCAGTGAGCTCAAGAACATGAACCGCGCCAACCGCACCACCTTCACACCCCGCATCTCGCCCACGCAGAGCGCACGGATGTACAAGCAATGGTCCAAGGCCGTCGAAATGTCCCGGGGCTGGCTGGACACGAGCGAGATCGAGTCCGAGGGCCAAGAGTGACGACATCTCTTCTTACATATAAATATCTTGTGATGATTGTGTGCAATGTGCTTGCGATTGAGCGTTTCCGTTTTACATCTTCTTGGGGTAATGGCATTTTGGCATTTTTCTCTTGGTCGGTGGTCAGTAGGTCCATTTCTAGGGTGGAGGTCTAGGTCTCTTCTTGGATACCCGCTATCATCAGTATATACTCCTACACTACGCCTATATAAACCGTATCCTACGGATAACTGTATACATATCAATCAAACCGGAATTTCAGCAGCATCATTTCTGTGCCTTGGTTGTCGTGTAGCCTTTTACGGAAGCTGCTCGAAGAAATATAATTTCCAGCCAGATGAATCTCTATGAGCACAAGTCTGAAACCCCAACTTTACATAACTTATTGATATCGGATGAATATGTTATAAGTATGTATATGCAATACAGTACACTGATCGCTCATTCTTAAACCGATATGCCACACCTCATATGCAACAATTGCTGTTTTGAGACTCCATATCGAAAAGACGAGAAGCACCAAGAAGTCAGAAACGCGACCGAGGAACGAAGAAAGAAAACATATGGAAAATAGGAATCGAGATAGAGAGAACACAACAGTTCGTCAAAAATGCGCCGCCTGATTTCGGCAGAGAGGAGCTGGCGATGGAAGGGATATGGAAAGTACAAAGTCATGAGGGAGTAACCTATTATTTGGCTGCGGCCGACGGTTCCTCGGCCTGGGTGGATGGATGATTCAATTTTGCGGTCTGCAGAGCCTCGGGCAGCTTGAGCGGAGCCGATGGTACCGACTCCATCTTGTCCAGCTTCTCCCCTCTTAGAACCTTCTCCATCTCCTCCTTCGTCAGCGTCTCGTACTCAATCAGTGCCTTGGTCAGAATTTCCAATTCGTGTCTCCGTTCAGTCAGAATCTTGGTGGCACGCATCCGCGCTTCCTCGACCAGTCGTCGCACTTCGGATTCGATTTCCTGCTTGGTTTCAGATGATAGACTATCATAGTTGGTCGACAGATCGACATTGCCAAGTTTCTTCGAGTAACCGAATCGGGTGATCAGTGTGAATGCGGTTTCAGTGGCTTGTTGAATATCCTGTAGACCATCAGTGATCGTGAACATACTTTCAAAATTTGAAGATAGAACTCACCGCCGAAATACCACTTGTGACCTTGTCAGGACCGAAAACCAGCTCCTCCGCTGCTTTCCCGCCCATGGAGACGTCGATATCAGACAGATACTCGGTGTAGTTCCGGGAAACCATGTCCATCTCAGGTAGGAAGTGCGTCACTCCCAGCGCCATTCCGCGGGGAACAATGGTAATCTTGTACAATGGCGTAGACGAAGGAGAGAAATAAGCAACGAGAGCATGACCCGCCTCATGGTAGGCAGTCAGAAGCTTGTCCTTATCCTGGATGATTCTGCTACGAGCTTCTGCGCCCATCATGATCTTGTCCTTGGCCCAGTCAAGGTCCTTGGGTCCAACCTTGGCCTTCTTGTTTCTGCTAGCGTAGATGGCGGCCTGATTGACCAGATTCTCCAGATCGGCACCAGAAAAGCCGGGAGTACCGCGCGCAAGTACTCCAACGTCGACATCGGTGCCGATCTGAATGTTCTTCAAGTGGTGCTTCAATATGTCCATCCGACCCCGAACATCCGGAAGATCGACAACCACCTTGCGATCGAATCTGCCAGGGCGTGTCAAAGCCTTGTCAAGCAACTGGGGAAAATTGGTTGCGGCAATGATGATGACTCCACTGGTCTGCGAGAATCCGTCGAGCTCCGTAAGCAGTTGGTTCAAAGTCTGCTTCACATAAGCTGCATCTCTCTCATTTCGCTTGGCACCAATGGCGTCCAATTCGTCAATGAAGATGATGGCGGGCGACTTGTTCCGGGCTTGTGCAAACAGCTCACGAACACGCTTAGCGCCGACACCGACATACACCTCATCGAATTCAGAACCAGACATGTAGAAAAAGGGAACACCCGCTTCTCCAGCGACAGCACGGGCGAGCAAAGTCTTTCCCGTACCAGGAGGTCCCACAAGAAGCACACCCTTTGGCAATTTGCCACCAAGAGAAGAGAATCGCTCCGGATTCAACAAGAATTCAACAAGTTCCTGGAGCTCTTCCTTGGCCTCGTCGCATCCGTGTACATCGGAAAATCGAACAGTCTGCTGCTGAGGTTGAGCCTCATTGCTCTGCGGACCCTTGATATTCTTTAGGACGCCGGTTGTTTCGACAAGAATGGTGATCACGACAAGAGAGATGTAAGTGAAGAAGCCGAAAACGAGCAGAAATTTGACCCATCGGAAGACAGCGCTGCCCAGCGACTCTTCGACAACCACATGCAGAGGATTATCTTTAGCACCAGTACCGGATTGCTTTGTCGCCAGTCCGATCTGACTACCGTGATTCCGTGCTGCGACGGCCTGACCGATGGCCTGCAGCTGGTCAGGGTTGAGATGCTGGTGCTGACCTTGGATGGTTGCCGCCGCTGCGGAATCGGTGCCACCAACACGCTGCAGCGCTTTCAAATAAATAGCCTCAGACAATGCATTACTCGCAAAGTGACCGCTGCGGTATCGTTCGACAACAATAGCCGGCATGTTCGCTCGGAGCAGAGCCTGATAGAAAGCGTTCTGTGCGCTGGCACTGCTTGGGTTGTTGTTCGCGGTCTTTTCCTTCTGGGCCAACAGACTGTGAGATGGGCCTCCAAACATGAACCGCTGCTGTTGGAGCTTCGAAAGACTGTTGGGTTTCGGAGCCTGACGAGTCCGGTTCAGGGTGGCGGATAGCGTCGAATACGATCGAGCGGAATGAGACACGAGAGGACGGCGGGATACAGTCGCGGAACTCCAGAGCGAATCTTCCATGGCAAAAGTAAGTACCCCGATATGTGTGGAAGTCGATAAAATCAGCCTACCTCTTAGGAAAGTCCGCGACAACCCATGTTGGACAGGGCGCTGCATGACGTTCGAGTTCAGAGCCTCAAGGGGGACAGCGTCCAGGCACTCAGGTAGCGGAATCCGGCCAGTTACCTACCTTACTGTCAGTATAAATCACTTGAGAAAGACTTATGGGCGCAGTAGAGGCATACACTTGGTTCGTTTCCGCCAAGCGTCCGCTGGTGCAGTCGTCGGGTTGTAGGAGACGAGGAGGTGGCCGTGCGTTGGATGCTAGTCCAAGGCGCATTTAATAGCTTTGACATCGATGGCCAAAGATCGGAAGTGACGGCCGCAAAGTTCTGTGAAAAGGCGAAAGTCAGAATAGATGCCATAAGAGGCATAAGAACTGTAGGGGCCCTTACAGGTCTTGAGACCGGGACTTGGAAAGCCATAGTTGTCTCGAGTCAAGAGCGGCACTAGGCCGCAGCAATCAATGTCGACCACGCAAAGAGTGGCAGATACGAAGACAATATAGATAATAGCTTATTATTTGTTCAGGATGACTGCCATCGCCAACGAGATTCAAACGATGGCGAATGCAAGCTAAGATGAGGAATGAGGAGTAGTTCGTTCTCCGGCAGACAGTCGGCCAAGGATGCGGCGGCGAAATTCGTATGGATATTGCCACTGCGGCCTGAACGGGCGACCGTAGCTGGGGTTTGTCGGGTGATATTATGCCTCAGGCAGAAACATACGTCGTTTATCTTAATTCCAACTTCCACATCGTGATTCCCCTGTCCAAAGGCAATGGCAATAGACTAAGTGGTATGTAGGTGGTTTTTCTGACCCACATCATTATTGGCACTGCTATACGAGTAATCCAAGTGGTTAATTGACATCGAAAAACAAACCATATGTAGAGTGTTGTACAACCTAAGTAGGTCGATCGTCTGCGATCCGTGGTTCTGATCTGTCAAACTTCGACTTATTATTGTTGCCTTTCCTCCTGTGCCAGTGATGGAACGTCGCTCCTGGACATATCGTGCTATTTGGTCCTAGGGAACTAGGCTTGAAGCCATAGCAGCAGATCCCTACAAGCCCATTTCCCACTGATTTTATATATATAGTGTGTGAGAGCCATGCTTGCTGATTATCCGTTTGTAGCGCTTCTCTCACACGAGCCCCATCAGCAATGTCGACAAAGCTCATTTTCCTCATGGGTGCTCCAACGCAGCAGAATCTCTGCTGGGATGAGGAGGGATTGCTCGACAGCCCTATATTTCCGTTCTCTGGTCCAGATATTGAAGTACAAGTGAACCAGCCTGTCTCAAAATCTCATGCGGTTAAATGGAGATTGTTACAGGATCCGAAGGTTCAAGGGCAAGAAGGAGGAAACACTTGGCCCGAAGCAGGCAGGCATGCTATATTTTTGAGAACCCAAGATCTCACGACCTTAAATGGCGTATCATCAGTCTCGCCAAATGACTCGGCAATCTCTCAATTCTACGACCATTCCTTTGCAGTACACGAGACGTCCGAGATCTCTGTACCTGGAGCGCATCTGGGAGACTCTATTCAGGAGAGCGGCTTATCAGCCGACAGTACAGGAACATCCGTTGCATCGTCCAGTGACAGAGAAGCGCCAGAATTGGGTTCCCTAGCGATTCAAGGATGTCTCAGTGACCTGAAGGATATCCCCAGCGCCACATATCTACAATCGATTGTGCCTCAGACAATGACAGTAAACCTGATTGTCGGCATCATCGCAATTCATCCTCCACGCCGCATAGTGACTCGGCAGTGGAAAAGGGAGCTGGACCTCGTGGAAGTGGTGGTGGGCGATGAGACAAGAACAGGATTCGGAGTTACCTTCTGGTTGGCCCTGGGTGACGAAACAAACGCCACTGGCCGATGTGACATCGAGGCTCAGAAGCTTCGAACGTCTTTGTCTAGTCTCCGACCTCGAGACATTGTTCTCCTGCGCATGGTAGGATTGAGCTCATTCCGAGAACGGGTATATGGGCAAAGTGTGGGCAGGGGGGTAACAAAGGTCGACCTGTTGCACCGCCAGCGGATTGACGCAACGGACGCAGGAGGCATTTACAGTGCAAGGCGCCTGCAAACCTTCAGAGACGATGAAACCAAGCATGGTGATCTGCCATTGATGAAGGTGTGCAAAGTACGGGAGTGGATCCGTCTGTTTGTGGACCCTGCACCGGATCTAGTAGGCGGTGGGAATCGTACGTCAAGGAAACATGGCCAGCCTTTGCCTCCAGACACGCAGGAGTAATTGTCAATTATCGATGAAGCTGAAGGACTGCGGGGGCTAAAGTTGTGATAATGCAAGGACGACGACAGAGCCTCCAGCACAAGGTTGACAACAGGTAGCCAACTCAACGCTCGATAACGATATATATGCCTTAGCTTTGTCTAGCAGGGTTATACATTTAACAGTGGTAATTGACTGATACAAGCGTGGCAGAGGATCGATCGAGTGTGGTATCCCGTTAGGAAAAGATCCCCAAGGACCTGGAGGAAGTATTCGCATGTAACCTAAGCGCATCAACGTGCATTGTTCAGGGGCGTCATATTCCCCAGGTGTCTTGCCCGATGCGGCTACCCCGATTGTCGCAGTTCCTACCTAATCCACACTGTAGATCCAGACATACGCAAAATGCAATAAAAGTTGAAAACCTCCTATAGATTCAGTTCAGGGTCATGCTGTAGCTACTCATTATTCTTCAGTATTAACATTGTTATTCAAAACCATATGGAACGGTCATGTGAGTCCTGGATATGCAGGAAAGAGTCCTATTAATATAACCAAATAATATCAGGGGCATTGGGTTGGCTCCACCTAGCACCTGATCCAGTGGTTCTGGGCCTTTCCTAAGATTATATGCCCCCTTTAAACTTGCCAGTCTTAAGATGAGATATATCTACCTAGAATCTACGGAGTACAGAGTAGAATACCTGATTTGCTACAGGCTGCAAGTGGCGTTCTGGCTGAAAACGTGTAACTGCCCGCCATGTCCATACTGGCTGTTCAAGGTAAGGTGGCATTGACTGATTCAGGTGGAATCGCCAATTAGCGGGTCAAAGTACGGAGTACCTTAAGGTACTGTTCCATAACCCATTCTTAGTGTGGTGGTCCCATAGACTGGCCGTCCACCCATTGGAACCTGTCGTCGTACGCAGTACTGCTTTAGTGGTAGTGCCCCTGCTCATAATTGGGAACATCATGTTATGCTATCCTTATTTGTTATTCTAGGTTATTATTAAGGAAGAAACAACGCCAGGTGTTCGTTCCTGTAACTTGAGCTTCTGCTTCTCGACCCTTTTCTATAATAGTATTATTTTCTTTCTCTATATACACGTCTTCTATCTTTTTGATCCGCCTTGCAACCTCAAGAATCGGCATTGAATCGGTTCTTACCAGTCGTCGACTTTGCTTCTGACATTCGTTGCCCGCGGGACCTCCTTTTTCCCTTTTTCTCTTTTCCCTCCACAGCCCCTCGTCCTCTCCTGACCACTTGTCGCAAAGCCAAAACATCTACCTCTACCAGCTTCTAATATTACTTTTTGACCTATCTTTCTTACATTATCTAATCAATCATCACCATGAAGGGTACGGATTTCTCCTTTTGCAATCAAGTGTCAATGCGTTCATTCAGATTAACCTTTCGATTCTAGCTCTCATTCTTGTCGGGGGGTTCGGTACCCGTCTGCGCCCTTTGGTGAGTTGTCTCTCCCCCGCAGTTGAAGCTTGTGTCTGTCTAATACTTCGAATTGATGCTAACATCATCGTCTTTCAATGCTAGACTCTGACTCTTCCCAAACCCCTGGTGGAATTTGGAAACCGCCCGATGATCCTTCACCAGGTCGAGAGCTTGGCTGCTGCTGGTGTTACAGATATTGTTCTGGCCGTCAACTACCGCCCAGATGTCATGGTCGCGGCCCTCAAGAAGGTACACCGATCTCTTCCCTTCCGTCGGCTTAAACGTGTTCTTGTGACTAATGTGTGATTTTCGTCTGCAGTATGAGGAACAATACAACGTCAGAATCGAGTTCTCCGTCGAGTCCGAACCCCTCGGTACCGCTGGTCCCCTGAAGCTGGCAGAGAAGATTTTGGGCAAGGACGACTCTCCCTTCTTCGTCCTCAACTCCGATATCATCTGCGATTACCCCTTCCAGCAGCTCGCGGAGTTCCACAAGAAACATGGCGACGAGGGCACCATTGTTGTTACCAAGGTCGACGAGCCCTCGAAGTACGGTGTCGTTGTTCACAAGCCCAACCACCCCTCTCGCATTGATCGTTTCGTCGAAAAGCCCGTCGAGTTCGTTGGTAACCGCATTAACGCCGGTATCTACATCCTCAACCCCAGTGTTCTCAAGCGCATTGAGCTGCGTCCCACCTCCATCGAACAGGAGACATTCCCCGCCATCTGCAGTGACGGTCAGCTCCACTCCTTTGATCTCGAGGGTTTCTGGATGGATGTCGGTCAGCCCAAAGATTTCCTGACGGGCACCTGCCTCTACCTCACCTCGCTCGCGAAGCGTAATTCCAAGCTGCTGGCTCCCAACAGCGAGCCCTATGTCTATGGCGGCAACGTCATGGTTGATCCCTCGGCCAAGATCGGCAAGAACTGTCGCATTGGCCCCAATGTAGTCATTGGTCCCAACGTTGTGGTTGGCGATGGCGTGCGTCTGCAACGCTGTGTGCTCCTGGAGAACAGCAAGGTCAAGGACCATGCTTGGGTCAAGTCGACTATTGTCGGCTGGAACAGCTCTGTTGGCAAGTGGGCTCGCTTGGAGAATGTCACAGTCTTGGGTGACGATGTCACCATTGCAGACGAGGTGTACGTCAATGGCGGCTCTATTCTGCCCCACAAGAGCATCAAGCAGAACATCGATGGTATGTTTCCTCGCTCGCTTTTTACAAACGTTACGAATTGCAAAAACTAACGCATTGCACAGTTCCCGCCATTATCATGTGATCTTCTCCTCCTTCTAATGCCGACATGTCCTAATTTACCTCGATCTTCATTGATTCTACCTACCTCGCGATCACCAAGATGCATATAACCGGAGTCGTTGTTGTGGTTGTCATTTTCTTCGATTCTATTCCAGCGCGACTGAAGCTTGGCTCATCGGTTGGCCGAGTCTGGTGCAAGTCTTTGGGTACAATACTTTACGCCTCTTCTCCACTCAGATTTTCCTCGCACCAGGCACAGAACAGTGCAGCAACTTTTACGTCGTCCCTTTACTTCCTTCCCACCCCGTAGCTCAGCACTCCCATAGCCTTGACGGTGAAGGCGTGTCTCTGCGTCTGCCTCTTCTCTTTTTTGTTCCTGTTAGAGCCTTTTGGCCATCTTTCCCCTCGCCTGACTTTCATCCTCCTCGGTTTCTACCAACCTGTCTTCGTCCCTGGCAAACAGCCCCGTTCGACGATATAATCTTCACAGTTCGTCCAGCTCGAAGCTGTCTCTTGTCGTGTTTCTCTTCTTGTGGATTATTTGCTTTCCGTTCTCTTGCGTGCTCCGCTTGTGCTTTCTTGGGGATGGTGGGCAAAAGGAATAATACTACACCTGATTTAATGATAAACGTGGACATGGGGTTTCTTGGAATGTAAATAGTGAAGGCAGATATAAAGGTGATAATTGTTCCCGAAGTATGTCCAAGTCTGCATTATTATGGATACAGAATAAAGCTCTTATCGACGACACTTGGTAGGTCTCGGAATAACCACGCCGAGAGACGGGCATGTACAATTACACATTAAGCAAGCTATAGACCCGAAAAAGTACAGGAGGGCCCCTATGGAACAGGATTAGAACGCTGGTCAGGCCTTGGATCCAGCCTGGGCCTCAGCTTCGTCAAGAAGCCTGTCCCATTGAATCCTCAATTCCTCCATGCGCTGCCAGCATTTCCTGCCTAAATCTTCATACTGCAGTTTCTCTTCCGCAGTGAGATCGGCCGCGCCCCTCTTGCGGCGACGACACCGGTCATCGTCCAGGACGGCCGGCCCAACCACACCACCATACCCCCACCCATCGACTTCGGTGCACACCGGCCGGTCCCGACCGAGACGGTTACACGAGGAGCCCCATTTCACTCGCCCGCCGCCGTTGCGCCGGTAGGGCGCTTCAGCATCGTCGAGGACGGCCTGAGCGGACAGGGCAAGCCAGACGGGGGCACAGGCGCCGGCGTAGGTGGAGAGCGTGTGCCAGGGGGATCCGAGGAGGCGGGCTAGCCAGAAGGCCGCGAGCATGGAGTAGAAGAGTGGCCAGGAGAGCGGGAGGATGCCTGTGCCACAGATTCCGGGGTGGGTGAGGAACATGTTTGGTTGCCGGAGTTCTTGTTCTGTTTCTTTGTGGTGTTCTGGTTGCTCGTCGATCGAGTAGAAGCTCTTAACCCAGGGTGCCGTACTGGGGAGATCCGACGTCAGAGCCAAAATGTCGGTTAACGCCTTTGAGGACTCGTAGGGGGCCAGGGTCCGGATGCCCTGGATGTCGTCGACGTCGAGATGTTTCACCGTCGCCTCGAGACTGGAGACCCAGATGACGCGGCCGGGCCCGTGGAGCTGGTCAGAGTGTCGCAGCAGCGGCATGACATTGTGTGCCAGCATGTAGTGGCCGAAGACGTTCGCGCAGAAGACCGCGCCCAGACGCGGTTCCTTGTCGTCGCCCAGTGCGGTCTGGGGATCCGTCACCATTCCCGCGGGCGCGATCTTGAACGATGGCCAGGAGACTTCGTGCACCAGGTCTGTCATGACGCCCCAAATCGCCTTGGGCCAGTCGATACCCGTCCATCCGCCTAGGCCGGCGTTCAGCACGATCGCATCGAGTTTGGGGAGGGTCTGGTTCAGTCGGCGGGAGAGGGCGCGGACGGAGACCAGGTTCGACAGGTCGACGTTCTCGGGCAAAAAGGTGACTCGCGCTGATGCTGCGGCGGAAGCAGGGACAGAGGCAGAGGCGCCGCGAAGGTGATCCTGTAGGCGAAGGAGAGTGTCATTTCCCTTCTTGGTGCTCCGCGTGGTGAAAATAACGGTCAGAGACTGGTGGGGATGTCGGTGAGATTTCAAGAATTCATCCACCAGTCGACAGCAGATTGAGAAACCAAGGCCACTGTAATGAGAGAATCGGAACCAAGGGAAGGAACAATACGTCAGGAAACGATGACTTATGCGTATGCGATTGTAAAGTCACCCCTTGGGGGAGGGAGGACGCGGAGAAATGTACAATACCTGTTGGCACCGGTTACCAAGACAAAGACCTTGTCTTGCAGGTC